AAGGAAATTATTCAGTTCAAATGAAACCTAGGAGCCAATGTTGACTACATAGCAGTGCAAATATACAATGGAATGTTAGAAGAAGAGTTGCAGCAATAAACTGTTGATCCCTTAGCAGTGTATGAAGGACATTCATTAAATGTGGCTGTCACATACACTTCGAGGCCCAAGTATTAATCTGCACGTCCTTTAGAATTTAATCAAGAGGAAACACCAACAAAGCAGTTCTGGTGAAGGCACAAAACATGGAACTAACAAAAGAAAAAGCATTTCTTTGCAGATACATTTATATGCTAGGGTTGTGTGCCAGGCCAGTGTCAAAGCTGAACCCAGAGGCTAAATCAGTTGTTTCTGCACCAAGAATGGTTCTCAGTGCACTTTAAGAGAGAACTGAGGAAGAATCCGAGCATAGGGAATGCATGGGTGTCCTTGCATTCCACATGCAGATGAACCAACGACATGGGTAAGCTCTAAGGGGAACACCAAGAAAGAAGATGGGTACCAGGCATACTGAAGATGAGTGCTCAGGGAGAAGAGGTAATATTCAAGTACTCCACATGCTTGAAATCTCTAACAGGTAATTCCAAAGAAGCAACACCAGGTAGCACCCCAAGACATCATGGCAGCAAATGGGGACTGACCCATTCCCAAGGGAACAAAAGCACGATTGGCCTAGGGCGAACTATTATTGTCCAGTTGCCAACTATCAGGGCAAGTACAGTGGTCAATGTCAGAGTCTACTCAAGAGAATACGCAGACTGGCTTCCCCCACTTAATTGCCGTTAAATAGGCTGTAATTGCATGGACACCAACACAGGTCAGACAACTGCGACAGACAATTATGGGTGCACTGCAGTGCTGGTGGCCGTGAGTGTGAAGCTCAGGCTGCAGCCAATTGCTATTTTAAAGTATTTCTCCAAGTATGAGACGCAGTGAATGGAACCACTCAGATGCTACTTCTGGAAAGACAGTAACCCCCTTACTACTGCAGTTCCTACCTTGGCTGCAAAACTTCCAAGACAGAATGTGCCTGATTCAGTCCAATGCTACTCCAACTTGAGGAAATTATTTAAATAGCCTGCACAACTATTACTGATTTAGTTTCTGTTTTGTTTTGTGATACTCTAACCCAGTAACTTAGGTTTATTTATTGCTAAGCCAAGAGATAACCCAAACAATTACTCATGTTTTGTTGTTGGGTTAGCTCTGGACTGTTAATCCTTAAATAACCCATAATTTCTGGATTCAGACATCACAAAACAACTCTGGAAAGGAACATCCCATTGTTAAATGAAATCACAAGTAATTTGTGCACAGCTTGTATGCAACGTATGTCTGTGACAATTGCAGAGTTAAATGCAAGAACTGCTATTGTGACATCCCAACCAGGTTACTGTTCTGATAAATAGCAGTATAGAGGACAAAAGTCAGAGCTGATGTGGCTCGGGGTGAAACAAAATTGAAGGAATGCTGTTAGTTCTGGAACCCTGCCCAATTTAATGACCTTCCTGTTGCCTCATTATCAAGACCAGGATCAAAACCGGCCTAGAAATAATTTTACAAAACTATGGAACATAATCAGTCTAAGTCCACAGTCCTGCTTCAATTTGCCCAACCTAAGCATGTGGTATAGAAAGGTTGAAGAAACTGGTTATGTTTAGCCTGCAGAAGGGAAGGTAGAGGGGACATGCTAACACTCTTCAAATGACTGATGGGCTGTCTCAGGGCAAAAGAAGCTTCAGTGGTTTTAAGTTACACGAGGTTAGGTTTTAGTTGCAAATTGGAAGGTGTTTGCCAGCTGACCCCATTGCCTGGAGAAAGAGTGAGCTCTCCCTCACTCGGGATCTTTAAGCAGAGGCGAAACAGGTGCCTTTTGGGGATGCTCTAGACCGGAATTCATGACATCAAGCAGGGGGCTGGCCCTTGGTGGCCTGCGAGGCTCCTTCCAATTCTGTGGTTCCATGGATACAAATACAAGCAGGTTGTTGTCGTTATTTTATACTCCATCTGTTCCCAGTGTTGGGACTCAAGGCAGCTCACAACATTAAAAGCTTATACAATTAAATATATAAAACGTAAATACATAATTCAATCAGTAAAGTATTGAAATTATTAAAATACCCAAATTAAAAACACTAAAAACAATATAAATTCCCATCTGGATACTAAAAAACCCCCCATCAGACCTCTCTGTAAAGACAAGCTGTGGGTTTGGTATTTGAAGAGAGGAAAGTAATGGAGCATAGTTTATTTCTAGATTGTATCTGCTTTGTTTACACTCTGCATTAGTTTAGCTATATATAAACTGTAAATCAAAGAGAAACACTTGTATCCTCCAGGTGGTGTTAAAGCTGCTGGGCAAGTACAATTCACCAATAAAGCCATTAAACTGGGCTGCTCAGCAATGTTACTACATTTGTTTTCTCCTTTTCTGTAGTGTATGGGTGGGGTCAACTGTAACAGGTAAGTGTTTCACAGGAGCAGAATTTAACAAGAAAATGGCTTTTCTGTTGGCAATAGATCGCCACTTGGGCCATGATCAACAGTCTGCATCACTTAGGACGCACTAAATGAGACTGTTAATGCAGGACTGATTTAGCCTGCAGTCCTATGGCTGTTTATTTGAGAATAAGATCAAGTAAACTCAGTGGGATTTACATCCGAGTAGACATGTACAAAATTGTTCGTGTCCAACCTACTTCGGTATTTAATGTCGAGGCCTAGGCTGGCCACTGTGGAGCTGGCCTTTGGTCTGATCTAGTACAGCTCTTCAGCTTAAGGTAGAAAGAATTGATTCCAATATAAATCTTTGGCAGACTGTTTGTATATCTTTATTGCAAGAAATGACCATTTATTTTTAACATTTTCTGTTCATTCACGATTGACAGATGACCCCATTGCCTGGAGAGTGAGCTCTCCCTAACTAGGGATCTTTAAGCAGAGGCTAAACAGGCGCCTTTTGGGGATGTTCTAGATCTGAATTCATGGCATCAAGCAGGGGGTTGGCCCTGGGTGGCCTGTGAGGCTCCTTCCAATTCTATGGTTCCATAAAAAGATCTCTGCTTTTATCCCATGACAATTATTAAGCTTGATCAGGAGTTTTTTGTTGAGGAACTTTTGAACATGCAGTTAAGCAATGACTGGGTTCGGACAACATAACAAGGATTGCAAATGGATTGAATGTCAGTTGTTGAAACACGGATTGTTGTTGGAACAGTGGCTATCATGTTCTCTGAACCCAGCTGTGCTAACAAGTTATGGTTTGTTAACCAGAAAAAACCCATGAAGATAACATGTGGTTTGTTGCTTGGTTTGTGAACTGAGGGTTGGTTACCACGGCTTGTTATGACCACTTTCAAATAGCACAATAGCCCATGATTCAACAACCCACACTCAACTAATAGAGTGGATTCAGACAACATAACAAGCCATTCCTGGCTTATAAACCACCATGGCTTATTGTGTTGTGTGAACCTGAACTCAGTTATGACCTGCCAGATCACCCCATCCACATGCTGGTTGACACGTTCCATAAACTTTACAAGATGAATGCAATACTTTGGAGAAGCCAACTTGGATCTTCCCCAGCAAGTCTTGTTCTATACACTTGATGATGTTACCTTTACTAATACATTTCATTGTTTTATCCAGAACCAGCCTTACACCTGTAATTCTGGACCATTCCCATCCTGGCTGAAGGCGAGACTGGTAAAGTGAGAGAGCAGTATAAATGGTATCTTACAGAAAGGTGCAGTTTCATCTTGCCTAAAGGAAGTAGTGGTAAGAACTTCGTTTGAAAAGTAAAACCAGCCTCCCTAAATTCCATTGCATTAGATAATTTCTGACCTTTTTCCATGTTCTATCTTTTGGTAAGGCATCTCTGTTCCAGAGATTTCTGGTTGAGGCAGGTTTTTGAAACCTGTTTCAGCCTGGCTTCAGGCCTGGGACACAAGACTACTTTGCTTGCCTTGGTGGACAATCTCTGCAGATAACTGGGCAGGAGGAGTATGTCCTATTAGTTCTGCTATGCCTTTCAATGGTTTTCAGTACCATCTACCATAGGATTCTTCTGTTATCTGAGAAAACATAACCCACACCCAAGAATTGCATATGGGTTTATTGGGTTCACTCCACACTATTGAAACGTGGGCACATGTATCCCATGTTTCCTCTTGAAAGGAACCCAAGGTAGCTTGCACTGCATCATATTCTTCACAACAACCACCTTGTGAAGTGGCTTGGGCTGGGAGTGATGCCCAAAGTCATGGCTGAGCAGGGCCCAGATCCCAGTACTCAAGAGTGCCACTCCAGCACGCCAACCACCAGATCACACCGGTTATGGCTGAAATAAGTGTTTCTTGTGCTGGGTGAAACTGGTTGCACTAACCAACCATGGTTTATGAACCACAAATAACACATAAAAAGAAGCTATAGTTTGTAACTGAGCCATGAACTCCTGGCTGGGTTCAGACAAGAGCCTGGCGTTCAACAACCCACGGCTCAGGGATCAACCCATACTCGGAAGGGCCGTCGTATGCACGCTCATGCAGAAATGCGGCTCCCAGATTCCCGGAGTCTTTCCGCTCTGTATATTCAGGAAAGCAGGCGGAGGACGCCCAGGCCAGCAGGCCGCACGGCGAGCCGGAACGCGCCGCCGCGAGCTCGGCCGCGGGCCCGCGTCGACCGCCTCACGGGGCCTCTCCCGCCCGGCAGCCCGTCCCCGGCGGCGCCTCGCGGCTGCAGTAGCGGCAGGCCGCGCCCGGCGTCGCCGTGGGCCGGGCCGCCCGCGGGGAGGGGGCCCGTCAGCGACGCCACGCGCGCCCTCCGCCGAGCTCGCGGCGGCGCGTTCCGGCTC